TGTACAGCCTCTCCTCTCTGCTCTGCGTTCAGCAGTTCAGTCATTCACTCAATTGTTGTCACGTGACTTTTGGTCTCAGTTGAATTAATCATGGCTTCCTCGTTGAGCTGAGGAACTCAGAATTTAATGTTTTACAGGATCTGTTTAAAGTAAAAGTTTATTTGTGGCAAAATTTTAAATAAGACGTGTAGAATAAAAATGTTTTTGATGAAATATCACAGTTTTAAGCTCGGCTTTGGTTGCTCTCTCTAACGGAAGCGTTCGTCACACGTGATGTGTTGAAAGTTACCGTCATAAACTGTATACCCTGGTGAAATGTCAGGGAGGTGTGAAAACAAATAACGGATACCGCGCGAGCCCAGTGTCTAAAGGGGTCGCTAACGCTCAGTGTGTAGAAGTGCTCTAATCTGCTGTGTTGGCAGGACTGCAGTCTTGATTAAACAGTGGGAGGGGACGTGTTATTGTTTGGATTATTGTTCAGTTGTTTTATTAAAGCATTCAGTTGTTTGTTGGGGGAAATTGGAAATCTCTGCAGTTGACTGCTTTTTTTTAATAAAAAAATATTTCCTCAAAATCTGCTGCTCAGATCGAGCCAGCTGCACTCATGCTGACTGTATGACGGAAGAAAACCAACGATTAGTTAATAAAATAAGTACTGGGTTTGTTTGACTGACTTAAAAGAACCAACAACCACGGTCTCATCTGGAGACCGGTCCGTCTGGTTGGACTCATAACCTGCGTCGGCACCAACTGAGCATCAACTCAGCAGGACACCGAAGCCCCACTTCCCGTCAGCAGGTTCCCTTCAAGACATTCGTGGAACATTCCAGTTGTTTTATAGTCTAGACATCTGAGACACACTGTGTGTGTGTGTGTGTGTGTGTGTGTGTGTGTGTGTGTGTGTGTGTGTGTGTGTGTGTGTGTGTGTGTGTGTGTGTGTGTGTGTGTGTGGACAGACATATCTGACTGCTTCGAGGCTGAGTCAGAGGAGACAAGTGTCAGCTGGCTTTTATTTAGCCGTCTCCCGTCCACTGCTTGATCAGTCTTCTTTTTCCTGCTCCACAACTTGCACTACACACACACACACACACACACAGTCGCTGTTGTTTTGCTGTTGTTTTATTTAGTCCGTCTGGAATTCCCCTCCAGACTATTCCATGAATTCCACAAGTGAGAGAGCCTGTTGTTCACTATGACTTTGATAATGCAATAACATTCTCAGGCTGGCAGTGGGTGTCTCTTCTTAGCAGCGTAATGCACTCGTTTTTACTGGTGTTTACTGAATAATTCATCGTCTTAAAACCCTGTGAAGACGCTGCACCGTCGGGGCACGTTCCCACCAGTGTACATGTCGCACTGTGTCGATGTCAGACACTCTGCAGACGGTGTGCCCTGTTAATTATTCAGAGCTCTTGTCTCAGAAGGTGTGTGTGTGTGTGTTGCTTTAACCTTCACAGCCTCGCAATGTGTCTCTGAATGACTTCCAGACGAGTTCAGTTGAGTTGAAACAAGAAAAGGAGAAAGTACACGTAAAGAAACCCCAGAGCATCACGTGTGTGGCTTATTTCTTCCGCCAGCTGTTTGTTAGCAGCAACACTCGCTGTTAGCTAACCGCTTTAATTACAGATACACCGACTGCAATTTTCTTGCCCTATATATTCAGATTTCTCTAAAAGTCTGAACTGCCGATTCTGTCCTCTGGAAAAATCATTTCAACTGTCCCGAAGATAAATATGTATCTTTTTACTTTAATATCGTCATTTAAAGGGGTTATTTGTAAGAAAATGCACAATTCAAATTAATGAAGAAAAAAATGTGGGCTTATTTCTATACTTAAAAAAACAGGCATGAGCAGTTTTATTGATTTACCATAAGCTGCTTAGAGCTGGTGTTAGGAGTTATAATATGTTTTATATTGATGTGAAGACATCTTCAAACAACTGGATTTATTCAAGTTTTTCATCATAAACTACATTTTAGGAGATTTCATGGTCATGTTATAGTTCACCTTGGCCCAATAGTGATTTTCACTGAGCATTGCTTGAACCATGGTCTAGTCAGCTGTGCTAGCTCCGTGCTAGCTCCATGCTCTCAAACGAGCTGGGATGAATGACAGCATGATGAGATGAGGTTGAGACGGAGATGCACTTCCTCCTAAAATGCAAAACATTCCATAAAATTAGGAACATCTACCTAAACAAATTTGACTCTGATTTCAGATTTTAAAAAATGGAGTGATATCTCAAAATGAAAAGTCCTCCTAGGAGAAGGAGAGAGGACACCTTGCTGCCCAGTATGTACTAACATGCCACAACCTGAGGGACAGTAGGTGACGCTTTGGCGATGCCGTTCCTGGGCGTTCATGCCAATGGAGCAGATCTGAGTTTGGGTTGAATTGGGAGAGAGACGGAGAGAGAGAGAGATCTATCTATCCGTGGATCTCTCTCTCACTTCGCTCCTCCCTTTGCTTCGGTGTCAGAGAGCTGCGGTGGTCTACAGGTAACGTGGGAGCAATGGGGGCTCTGTCTCACACCACTTTATGAGATGTTGTATTAATATTATTGTTATATTGATATTGTTGTGTATTGATGTTAATGTATGTTTATTTTTTTGATGCTTTGGCAACACTGTTTTTAAACTTTCATGCCAACAAAGCAAAATTTGAAATTGAATGATAATAGGCTGGTCCTCCCCGGCTTATTTTGGACTTGCAGTTCTGACAAAGTGTGAGCTTTATGTCTTCTTCACTCCACGCCCACCGTGACGTTTCTGTCTGTGTGCCGATTTCGAACCATCATGTGGCACATGTGTGTAAATGCACAGGAAACGATTAAGTGGATAGCAGGGCCGTCTTTCAATCAGAGGGTCGGCGGTTCGAACCCCGGCTCCGCCAGTCGCCAAACCCCAAAATTGCTCCGTAGGTGTAGAAATGTGGTAGACTCTGAATTGTAAGTCGCTTTGGATAAAAGCGTCTGCTAAATGACTGTTTCATTACATTACATTACAATCGGTATCTATATGAGACCGCCTGCTGACATGGAAGTGTTTGAATATGACTTTAGAAGGGAGCAGTGTTCCTGTGACAGGCCTCTTGTTTATAATATTATCATAATAACATTCACTGATTGGAGGATGTTTGTTGTTTTAGCTCCACGCATCACATTTCCATGTATGTCTGCACATGGGACTTGTTGAGAATGAGAACAGCTTAGAATATCTCAACTTCCAATGTCTGTTCCTATTCTGTCATTTGCTCAAACATCAGATGCAACAGAGGAGACATATTCGTCTGTGTTAGTTGTTTTCCACAGCTGCCAGCAGATGTTGCCAAAGAGAGAGGATTTATTTTACTGATGCCGCATAGCGTGGCGTTGATTAAATGTAGTTCTTTAAAAACGATATAATAAAGTTTAGCCTACACATTGGTAGGACTATGGCTGTCTGATGGTCCATGGAAGTAGAGGTACACCAAGGTGTAAAGGTACACCAAGGCCACAGTTCACAACAAATACATAATAATAATTCTTCAAAACAGTGGTACAAGTGTCATAGATGGACTGAGGTAGCTTTTTGCCCTCTGGCAACTTTGGTAAACTTGTTTTATGATAGTAATGAGGAACATTTCAAATTAACTGTGAACAAACACTTTCCCCAAAGGCAACGGGTCACAATAGGCTGCCAAACTGAGGAGCTTCTCTTATGCTATGAAAGTGAAAATGCCAAATACCCAAACATGTAGGCCTATGTGACGATATTCTGTTTCATACGCTGGTGATCGGCACATCTGGGTGACGCCAGGATGCTCATTCCATTCTGGCTGTACGGCGGTGCAGAATGTCCCAATAACTCATAACATATAGCCTATTTTGGTACAAACATCCCGCTATTGTATTCACTGGTAATAAATATTTGAAAAGAACTCGTGTGCTTCCAATCGATGTCCTGAGTGAGCGTGAATAAATCACCATGTAGACTAAGTTGCACTATCCATCAGATCAGCATCTAGATACACTAGGTTTATTGGTCGGTGCCTCATCTGTATTTGGGTTTTGGTCAAGCACATTTAGATAAGTTAGAGAAGCCATTTTGTTTGTTGATTTCAGAGGTTAGTTAGTTAGGCCAAGTTCTGTTATCTTTGTTTCAATTGTTTGGCACGACCACACCTGTCCCATCCTCTCCCAAATCTTGTGTTGAGACTCGCTCATCTTTCACTGTCAGTGAGCATAATAAATATTGTTTATGGTACACAAGGTATTTGGTTTTCATTTGGGTTGTTTTGTGTTAGTCCCTAAATCCTTCCCCTGGACAACAGAGAAGGGATGTAACAAAGGCTAAATAACAACAACATAAGGCAACTCTGTTAACATCAAATAATACACTGATTAACTGGAATAGATTTAGAATTCATGAACCATTCTTTGCCAACATCAGCAGAGGAAGGCGTGTAGAAACAGCTGTTTGATCTCTCTCTCTCTCTCTCTCTCTCTCTCTCTCTCTCTCTCTCTCTCTCAGCCCCTCTAGGACGTCATTTCATGTTAATACATGATAAACAATGTCCTACTTTTGCGAGACAGTTTTGCGAAAAGGATGATTACAAGGCCCGCCTGACCCTCTGGTTCTGTGTGTGCGGTGCGTCGGCAGAGTGCTAACGTAGCAAGTGTGTGTGTTTGTGTGTACGTGTGTAATGATGTAACGTCTCGCATGCCCTCAGCGAGAGTCCTTCCAAACGCCCACGCAATACATACACACAATGTATGAAGAGGCGGGGTTTGGTGGGGTTGAGAAATCTCTGATTGGCTTCCAGCCTCAGATTGAAATGTGTTGGAATTTAGTGACAAACAGAACTCAGGACAGTGAGGAAAAGCTTTTCACGTTTTCTCAAAAGTGAACTGCTGGTGTGAAAACTGAAGGTGGCCAAATAAATGTTGGAAGCCACACGAGAGCTTTTGTTGGATTGTGTCCGTGTCTCAATCGTTCCTCTCTCTCCTCCCTCCCTCCAGCCCTCCAGTGTTACTGTGACCGCTGCAGCGCCAACTCCAGCTGCACCACGGACGGCGTCTGCTTCGTCGCCCTCCGCAAGACAGGCAGCCAGGTGACCACCGAGCAGCGGCAGTGCGTGCGCGACAACGAGCTGATCCCACGAGACCGGCCCTTCATCTGCGCCCCGTCCGTCAAGCATGACACGGGCATTTACCCGCAGTGCTGCAACACGGACTACTGTAACAAGGAGCCCAACCTGAAGATCTTGCCTGGTAAAACACACACACACGGTTCCTTACATTGTGTCAGTTTTTCAGAAAGGCTTGGCTCCAACGTCAATAACAAGTGGCAAGAACCAGAGTATAGTCCCATGAAGAACAGACAGCCTGCAGGTTTTCGTACCAACTGATCGCCTCTTTTTGGAGGAGATTTATGATTACATTTAGATGACTGTTGCCCCCCAAAAGCTATAGATTTAGAATGTTTAGATATGAACAATATTGACTCACTATTCTAACTCATTGTACCCAGAAATAACTCACAAAATGCCCCCCAAGGCACTTAAAATATGCAACTCAGCTATATACTACTTACTGTGCACTTCTACTTCATAAGGAAACATCGTAGCTCTACATTTACCTGACAGAGAAATGTTACTGGTGCCGTTGAAGATTCAGATTTGACTCACGAAAAACAAAAAATGTCTTGCATTATTATTCATTAGACTAATCTCCACCTTGAGAAATGCTAATACACTGTGCTGAGAACTCCTCTCTTTTTCTCCTCACTTGAAGTAAACGTTTGACCGCAGGCCTTTCACTGTGTGGTATTAATAGTTTTACTATTGTAGTTTTGAGTAGCATTCGTCTTATACCGCTGAAGACACCAACATTCCCAGTAAGAGAAAAGGTCAAAAGTGAGGCAAGACCGTTTTTTCCTGCGGTCCCCCAAACCACTAAATGTGGCCCTGACATACACACCTAGGTCAGGTTTATCTATCCCAGCATGCAATGGTAAAGACAGTAGTAACTGTGGAGGACTCAGGTTTTCTAGGTCATCTGGCCCTTCTGTCTTCAGGTGTATTTAATCTACATTGTCTTCAGTAGATGGATGAATGCATAGTTGCCTCTTTTTTGTGTGTGTGTGTGTGTGTGTGTGTGTGTGTGTGTGTGTGTGTGTGTGTGTGTGTGTGTGTGTGTGTGTGTGTGTGTGTGTGTGTGTGTGTGTGTGTGTGTGTGTGTGTGTGTGTGTGAGTGTGTGTGTGTGTGTGTGTGTGTGTGTGTGTTTGTGTTTGTGTGTGTGTTAGCTGCAGGCCAAATCTCCCATCAGTCTAGCAGATGGAGTGTCCCCCGCACCACTTGGCTCGTGGCTTCAGCCCTGCCACTTGCCAGCCGTCAGTATGCTCAAAGTGAACCCTCCCAACAGTTAGCGGCCTCCTTTGATCTCTCACGCGTAGATCCCCGAGCCAGACGTAACCCTCCACGCTCACCAGGTCACAACTTTTGACCCGTCTTGCTTTCCTAACCTGCTCTGTGTGTCCCGTCTCCTGCCCGTCCAGAAGTCATCCCCGACAAGACTCCCCCTCTGGGGCCCGTGGCCCTCGCGGCGGTGATCGCCGGCCCCGTGTGCGTGCTCTGCCTGCTGCTGGTCCTGGCCTTCTACGTTTGCCACAGCCACAGGGGTCTGGGGGCCGGGGGTGCCGGGGCCCATCACCACCACCACCACCGGGTGCCCAACGAAGAGGACCCCTCCATGGACCACCCCTTCATCACCGTGGGAACGACGCTGAAGGACCTCATCTATGACATGACCACCTCTGGCTCTGGATCAGGTACGATCACAGTTAAATGATGAGGCAAATATTTTGGGGAATATGTGTATTCACTTCCTTGAAGAGAGCGGGATGAGAAGATAGATGCCACTCTAATGTTTGTACGCTGGTTATGAAGTCGCTTAGCTTAGCATAAAGAAAACAGCTAGCCGGGCTCTGACCAGCACCTCCACGCCGTCCCGTTTGTTTGATCCGTGTGAAAAACAGAAGTATAAAAGGTACTTGTGGTGTCTGTAGTCTCCGCCGGTCGCCCGGCAACCTCGCGGTGACGTCAGGGTTCCAGGAAGTGACTGCACCCTGCCAGGAAATACTTGTGACGTGAGGCTTATTGAATACATTTTGATTGAGGTTGCAGTTTTTTTTTATGTGCTGTGGTTCATTCATGCTAAGATGTAAAGGTCAAACTGCAGCGCAGCACAGCAATGATTACACTCCGCTGCACGTCAGCTAAAGAAACAGCTTCAAGTGTGCAGAGATGTGTGCCTGCATTGATTCACAGAGCTGAGACTCACATTACAGCGTTGGTACCAGCTCAGTCTTCACAGCGCCACTTGTTTCTTAGTAACCAAAACAAACAAGGTCCCTGTGACGCGGCCTCAGATGAGCAGACCATGATGGATCTGTGGATGTTTAAAACATCAATAATGTGATAACAGAATTACAGCATTACACATTGTTACATCCAATTGTTAGTTTGTTTGTGTAACTACATTTTGAAGACTAGGACTGGTGTGTGTGTGTGTGTGTGTGTGTGTGTGTGTGTGTGTGTGTGTGTGCGTGTGCGTGCGTAGACTCTGCAGCTGCACACATCTTAAAGTACAAGTCTATTAAAAAGGCTGGCTGGGCCAGATTCCGGCTTCATGTCTGCATAAACACACACGCGTGCGCGCGCACTCACACACACACTGTACTGGCAAAAGCTGTTCTTCATGAATTAGCACCTCTCTGTGGAGACTGGCACCTCCAACATGCTGCCAAGCAATGACTTGGATTCAGTTTTCTTTTTAGCTATTTGCACCATATTTCACAATATGCAATTGTGTGTGTACGTGTGCGTGTGCGCTGTGTGTTTTGGCAGAGCTGCGTGGGCTGTTTTAATCCCAGTGCTGAGTCAGAATCTGTGTGGTGCCTGTTGAAATCGGAGGAGGCTTTCTCCTCTGTCATTTCCTGTCATTTCCTCATCGGCAGTTTCTGGCGATCTGACAGAGTTCCATCTGTCGTAGTATTTCAACTTATTTGCTTGTTGGAAAATGTAACTGACTTGCATTTGCAAGATGAGCGAGCTCTACTGCACTTCACCAAACAAACTTTTATTTTTTTTAAAGATTGGTGAACTGCAGCGGTAATACAGATTCATGCACATGACTTTGCAGGACACAGGTCTGCTGACTTGTGCTTTTCTGTTTTGTGGTTTCATTTCATGAAACAGACATGCAAAGGCAACATTAAGTGTTAATGTATGAAATGTTGCGAGCAGAAAGCTATCCTCATTCTGACCTTTTTATTTTTCATAGTTTTATTGTTTTTGACATCTTCTCATGTTACTCCCACTTCATTCTGGAAATATTCCACCAGTGTTCTCTGAGTATTCGAGCCATGCTGATGCTGTAATTTTAGGTTTATTAACAGAAGTCGTTGAGTCTTCTGGCTCCTACACATCACCTCCCTCCTTTTGAGATGTTTACCAAAGCAAACCACGTGTTCCCTGTCTATCTCGCTGTCTGCTTTCTAAGCGTTTTCTTTCCGGGTCCTGCTTCTCCCTCCAGGCCTGCCGCTGCTGGTCCAGAGGACCATCGCCAGAACCATCATCCTCCAGGAGAGCATCGGGAAGGGCCGCTTCGGGGAGGTGTGGCGGGGCAAGTGGCGCGGCGAGGAGGTGGCCGTGAAGATCTTCTCCTCCCGCGAGGAGCGCTCCTGGTTCCGCGAGGCCGAGATCTACCAGACCGTGATGCTGAGACACGAGAACATCCTGGGCTTCATTGCCGCTGACAACAAAGGTGAGAACCCCCCCCCCCCCCACATGGAAGAGCTGGCGAGAGGCTGGATTTTAATTAACATCAGACCGCACACACAGAAGAAGAGAACATGAGTCAGAATAGAGCCAACAAGAATAACTAGAATGTTAACAGATTACTGAATTGTGCAGGCTAATTAAAGTACCAACAAAGAAGGTCGATTCGAGCGTTTTAAATTCCAAACCCTGTAAACAAGATCTTCATCAGGCCGATGAAGGTGAAGCTGGTGCAGGCAGACGTTCACCGTCAATGGACCGGCTGGTAGACAGTGTGGGGGAGTAACAGTCCTCAGCCAAGGCCAAGCACACATTACCACACAGTCTGACTGCTCTGGCACACACACACACACACACACACACACACACAGCCGTGTACCTATATCTTTGTGAGGACACTCATTGACATAAATCCTAACCTTAACCATCACAACTAATTGCCGAACCCTCACTTAAACCTAATTCTAACCTGAACTTTAAAACCAAGTCTGAATCCTCAAAGAGGCCTTTTAAAGGTCCGTCCCAAAAGCGTCCTCACTCCGGCGGTCTAACACTCAAACTCACATGTTTGAGTGTTCATTACAGCCTGACCAACGGGCTTTTTTTGCAGGTTGCTGTCTGTGGGAAAATGATGTAGTTCTGGTTGACACTGTGTATGGACACGTCTACACAAAACAACGCCCCCGTTAGAGCTCTATGGTGTGTGTAGACGAGACCTTTCATTTCAATACCGTCTTTGTGACTCAGTCAAGTCGGAACACAGTCGTTTGTACACAAAGTGCTGGAATCAGGGCCACTCGCTCTCTTCCTGTTTGATGTCCGCCTCAGATAAACCGCTTAGAAATCATGGAATGAATGCAATCCATAGAACTCGTCTTCATCATGTTTAGACGTTTTGTTAATCACTGTCAGCTTAATATTAGTGGAGGCACAGACCCCCGTTTGGGCCCCTTAGAGTCGCCAGCACTCTCACGGACACCCACTGCTTTTGTGTTGCGTTTAGTGAAGCGTAATCTACACAGCTGTCTAAATCACAGAAATATCCCACTGTTTTCTGAACTTTTCAACCGCATCTAAATTGATTTAAGGGGGAAATAAAATCGATATGTTACTGTTGATTTTGTTGATTTCTGGAATCGGGGTGGATTTATTACCTCTCGACTCCGTTGGGGATCCCAGTGAGATCTGGTGCAGTGGGGAAAATAAGCGTGGGGTTACATTGCTTTCTAATTTGTTGAGCTGGAAGAAACGGCAGGCGGCTGCACACGCTTGATATTATTATGTATCGGATCTATTTACTTGTTAATCGAAGGTGCCTGAACGCTGTTCCGGATTGTTCCGTCCCACTTTAACCCCAGGTTATATCTGTAGAACATTCAATTATCTTCTGCCTCTGCATAGACAGATATTTGTGTTGAAAACCTGCGAACACAGGCTAAAACATCCCAATAAGTTCAAACTGCACTCATAGTTCTTGAAAACTGTTCCAGAGCTCATAGAGTACCACTTACAAACAATTGATGGCACATCAGAGCAACCTAAATTATTCTAATGGCAAGCAGTACTAAGGCTGTGGCTGCACTTTTAATCAGCCTTTGTCCTCCGATCACGCATTTATTTTCAAGTTTGTACCGTCTGAGATCGGGCCGTGTTCCCCCTGGGATCCGATCAGCCAGACCACCTGCTGAGATGCTCTTTGAGTTAGGATCTCATTGAGGTGTGGACAACATGTGGTTACAATCCAGACAATTTATCAAACGAGTGGAAGGAACCATCACCTTCCTCCCACACTGGAGCTCCTCTACAGAGGAGAGCAAAGGGAAGAGAGGAGGAACCCCGGGGCTGGACGTCCTGTTGAGTTCCTGCTGATGAAAACACATTTCCTCATTTTGCTGCTTCAAAATAACACAGCTTTTAATTGACAGAATCATGTGACTTTTATTTTGATGTATTCAAAAATGAATTCATTAATGAATTAGCAGAGCTTCGTTAGCGGCTATTCTCCAATACAACAAGTCTGCTAATACTGCAGGGAGGAAGATTGAGCAGCGAAAATAACGGGGCTTTTATTGTGAAATATTTCTATAAATGTGTATCTCCGAATGAGCGGAGCTTTGTTTGAGGCTATCTTTGAATAAAACAAGTCTATAAATACTGTAAAGTAAGTGACAAAAATAACAAGGGGCTTTTATTGTGAAGGATTTATAGGAAATTAAATTGTATCCTCCGTTTTACAGCCGCACCGTTGACCATAAAATATATCCGATCAGGATGTGGACACACATACGCGGACACAACTGAGGCATCCGATCACAAAAGTCGCATGTCCATCGACATTTAAGCACTATATCATACCAGAAGATGAGTTCTTTGTGGGAGAGCAAAACCAGGAAGAAAGCAGCTTGTCGTTAACCCTTTGTCTCCTCGCTCGTCTCCCTGTCTGTGTGTAGATAACGGGACGTGGACTCAGCTGTGGCTGGTGTCAGATTACCACGAGCACGGCTCCCTGTTCGACTACCTGAACCGCTACACCGTCACCGTGGAGGGCATGATCAAGCTGTCCCTGTCCACAGCCAGCGGCCTCGCCCACCTCCACATGGAGATAGTGGGAACACAAGGTGAGACACACACACACTCTTCTATTTGTCCCATACACATATTGCACATCTTCCTACAAATCCGTGCAGTCAGCCGGCTTTTGTTGAACGCACGACCGTCTGTCTCCAGGGAAGCCGGCTATTGCGCACAGAGACCTGAAGTCAAAGAACATTCTGGTGAAGAAGAACGGGACCTGCTGCATCGCTGACCTGGGTCTCGCTGTCCGCCACGACTCGGCCACCGACACCATCGACATTGCTCCAAACCACAGAGTGGGAACCAAAAGGTACCTGCATGCCGCACAGAGCCCTTTGTCATGTTTCTTTAGAAGCAGTTAAGTTTGCGGTGGAAACCCTCTTCTGTATCCATCGTGGTTCTGTCAGGACGTACATGGAATTGTCTGGCTTGGTAATTTTGTCCTCCGTCGGGGATGTGTTAGTGATTTCTGTCGGCTAACCAGGATGTTGGGATGGAGCCAGTATCCGATGCAGTGCATGAAGAGACTAGGCATGTCCCGATCACGTTGACTTGCCCCTAATCCTGATAAGTCATTTCATACTAAGCATCTACCAGTGCCAAGCCCCAATCCGATTCTTCTTAGATAGATAATAATAAAAAAGATGTAGTGTAATGTCTACCTGAGCAGAGAATGAGGTCGTTCTCCCTCTGTGTGTGCTGTAATCAGAGCTTCTTAGTTCTTTGCTGACATAGCCAGGCCAGCCGTGTGTGCTTTAAGTGCATGTTCATGCCTGTGAGCGTGCCCCAACGGTCGGCTCACGGTCCCCACTCTGGACTGCTCTCATACGACGGTTACAGCCGATAGTCAACGCGGAATGCGTACCACCCACCTAGCTCTGTCAGCACTGATGTCGTGGTTTGCACTAAAAGCACTGTTAGCAACGTTAGCTGCTAGCCGCAGGCTCAGCTGTTGCCATGCCGAGAAGCAATGTCCTGTATAGCACCTTTAAAGTTATTTAAATCAATCCAGCTTATCCGCTTTACAATTGGATAGCTCTGCATTGCATTAAGAAGAAACAAGCCTGTGTTCAAGCTGTTCCATCATGATTTTTATTAGAATTTTTTTAAGAAAATAAACAAACCCTCTCTGTCACCCTTTTGGCCTGTCGCTGTCTGGAGGGAGTTTGTCTCTCTCTCCAGTCGTTGTTGTTCGGTGCAGCCTTTGCCTGAGTTACCTGAATGGACTGTAATCCGACGAGGGTTGTGATTGCATTAATGAATGACTAATTGTTTGCTTGCAGTGCTTTTGTTGCAGTGGCGTGGTGAATGTGGTTGAGACAGCATGCACCATAGGTGACGGCAACACGTGAGAGACTCGCACTGAGCTGAAATGAAAAAAAAACGTTAACATGCATGTTCATAAACACTTGCAAAGTTCACACTCTACAGGATAGTGAAAGGGTTGTTACACAAATAACCACTATAGATGACAATAAAAAGTGAAAGACATTTAGAATTTTTTTTATGTCCTATTGTTCAAATCCCTGTCGATTGTGTTCATCTTTTTAGTCGGCCTATATTTGCCATTTTGGACAAGTAAGTTTGGCAAGTGAAACATCTCAGCTACTTGCCCAAAGGGCCTGCTGATGGTGTGTGTTGCTCTGGAGCTCAGCGCTGTGGAAGAGAGACAGACGGCGTTGGAGAGTTGATGGTGGCTGCACTCGCTGCATTGCTGTGCACGAAAGCTTCGCGAATAAAAAGCCCCGCGTGACAGCTGACATAAAACAAAGGATGGGATCGGGCTCAATAGTTCAATATAGCCAACACGGTAAAAACAAATGCCTTCATCGTCCCCTAAAGAAATATTGTAAATCCAACAAAGTCACGTTTAAATAATTGTTGGGATCTGACCCTGCTCTCCTGGCTGGCTGAGACCTTCACACGTGTTTTTCAAACAAAGGAGCAGCCATGTTCCTTCCTTTCACCAAAACGCCTGACCTGGGGTCTGCAAGAAACCTCATGCCGGATGACCACGCCCCCCAGCTCCAGCAGAAACCTGATGCTGGTCCCTCATTGGCCAAGAAAGGGCCCCCCACTGGTGTGCCACCTGGTTTATAAGCCTGAGCACAGCTAGAACAAGGCTCTTCCGTCCAGACACCGCTGGTGTAAGGAGATCCACAAGGCTCTCTTCACTCCGGACTCGTCCAGGGGACAAGAAGATCCACAAGGCTCTTCCGTCCAGACATGCTGATGTGAGGAGGTCCATAAGGCCTCTTCCCTCTGGACCTCGTCCTGGTAACAAGAAGATTCACGAGGAGCCGCGGCCTCATCAAATCCTATCAGGTCACATGTAACATTCGCTGTTCGAACAGACTGTGTTTTATTTTGAGTTTTGGATCCTGTAGTGCGAGAACGGATAACTCCTATGCCCCGTTCCCCCCTTTTTGTGCACACACCGCCGGCAGAAGGATGATTGACAATCTTTCCTCGCCGAAGATTTCCGGAAAGGACGACCCAAACCTCGTCCCTCAGCCGAAGTTAAAAAGCCCTCTCTGCAGCGAGGAGGCCGAGTCAGCGACTCCTACCACTGGAACCAGACCCTACCGAACGAAGCTTCTACAAGTAAGAGTTACTGGTATCTGGGCCTAGCTTAGCTTAAGCTTAATTTAGCCTAATTTAGCCTGTTCGTTATGTCGTTGTTATTCCTGTATCTTGTTACTTTAAGTTACTATCGTGTTATAACGGGTTATTGCGCAAGCATCGCGGACCACGGAGTCCCGTTATATTGTGTATTTCCTGCTGTAACTGTTTGCATTAGATCCGTTGCTGCTAGTGGATGTGGAGGTTGTGATTTTATCACCTTAAAGAATAAAACCACGGTGGCGGAGCCTCGTCTCGCCGACCGAGTTTCGGGGTGATAAGAGGGCAATACTCGCATCTCACCGCAGTGATAAAGATCTGTTTTGTTTTGGGGATTATTTTATTTTGTTTGGTTTTATTCTCTCTTCTTTAAATCGGCTCTGTGAGTGAGATTCAGAACCGCAACTATCACCGTACAAGCGTGACCGGTCGGTTCAGAATCCGACCGCAGAGTTTACGAGTGATCAGCTGTTCCTCACATTCTCACTGCAGCGCCGAGCATCTCTCTCTCTCTCTCTCTCTCTCTCTCTCTCTCTCTCTCTCTCTCTACTAACCTGATCGTTTATTATTTTATTTAATAAACTCTATTATATTTTAAAGAGCAGTCGTCTGTGATTACTTGTGCATATGTGTGTAATAACTGGATGTAGTGGTCTGTGCTCGAACTTAAACCTTCACTCTCACTCTGAATGTGTGATAGTACTCAGACTGTTGACATTATGAGTGAACACTAATTATGAGACTTAGTTTTATTGTTTGGTTATTGGTCCCTGTTCGCAGGGTGGTGCCCCGTTATTATTAATAATTGTTACTGACATTAATAATTCTATTGATGTCAAGAATTTAGTTTCTTAGATGCTGATAACTCAAACACGCTCCTTTACGCTCCCAACATAATGATAAAGTGCTACTGTGTTACGGTGACCACACAAATAGCCATTCATCTCTTCCTCCCTTCTTACCCAGACTGCACTGCTCCAGACTACACGTGGCTTCTCACTTTCCGTGTGTGTGTGTGTGTGTGTCTGTCCACATGTCTCTTGTTGTATTATGTAGACTTGTCTAGCTGCAGGGTTGGAAAGTGAGCAGAACATTGCGGGCAGCACTCTCCTCCTGCCCACAGTGATATCAGCATAGCTTTCATCCAGCTCTGTTTTTCTCTCCGACTTTTTTTTTTTTTTTTAATACTTGTTTACGACATTTTCCTGCCTTCGTGTCGGGGCCGATGGTTTGATGCTGCAGGCGTATTCCAGTGCCACTAAATGATTCAGTGGGCCTCCGGTCAGTGGAGACTAAAGCTCCGCCTTGGCTGAAATCCATGTTACACATTGATGATCTGATCCCACTAGAGTGTCTTTGTTTTATTCTTTTTGTTTTCTATCATCACGCCAAACTGCCAGCAAAGAATAAGTCCAACCCAAACGTGACTCTTTATTAGACGTGTCCTTTTGTGTAAAATGAACCGATATTGCTTTCATTATCTCCGCCAGGAGGATCATGCTGTCGGGTGAGTGAGTGAGTCTGTTCATGGATAATCTCTCATTCTGCTGCAGCAAACTACATTATATTGTTGGTGGGCAGTTATTGCTGCACGCTGAAGGTGGTTGTGGTGACTCGCACTTTCTCTAAACACCTTTTTACTCTCTGTTTTATACTGATGTTGTCTGGCTGCTGACTCCTCACTCAGTACTCTAAACCGGCTCCCGGCCACTAGTGATAACACTGCTGACCCAGGCAGCAACCTCAGGTTCTGCCGAGTGAAGCCGGCAGAACCGGCAGAACCGTACATTATGGTCCATTTAGAGTCAAACGGACCATAAAGCAGGGGACAGGCTTACTGTGATTAATGTGTCTCTGCACTTTGTGAGAAATAGTTGGAGGACTCCTCCATTTCTCCTTTGCTTGGAAGTCCTTGACAGTTATTCTCAAATGACAAATTGAAAAGAGAGTAACTCAAGTTTGCTCTGATTCACAGGAATACACTCTACTTGATGATGTTCAAACACAATCTTGGATCAAAGCACAAATACAGTGTGTGTGTGTGTGTGTGTGTGTGTGTGTGTGTGTGTGTGTGTGTG